ATTTTTATTTTTGAACCCTCTTCGTGAAGATTCCGCCTCCGCCGCAGACTTGACGTTTTCATAAAAGGCAAAAGAGACATGTTTCCTGTAGGGTCACAAATGCCCTCGTACACAATTTTGACTTGGTTTTGCTCACAACATTATTATTATCTAATGAATTTGATATTTTTAAATAGAGAATCTAGGATGGCAATGGAGCAGTGCGGTGCCGGTTCTGTTTTATTTGGCTTATGTTCACTATTCCAGTGCGGAGGTTCTTTTCATGGATTCCATACCAGTTGTTCGTGAGTTTCCGGAGGTATTTCCTGCAGACCTGTCGGGGATGCCACGCGGCAAAGATATTGACTTTTGTATTGATTTGGCTCCGGGCATTCAACTCATTTCTATTCCGCCATATCATATGGTCCCACCAGAGTTGAAGGAATTGAAGGAGCAATTGCAAGATTTGCTTGATAAGGGCTTCATTAGGGCCAGTGTCTCGCCTTGGGGTGCGCCGATGTTGTTTATTAAGAAAAAGGATGGATCGATGAGGATGTGCATAGACTATCGGCAGTTGAACAAAGTCACCATCAAGAACAAGCATCCATTGCCGATGATTGATGACTTATTTGATCAGCTTCAGGGTGCCAAGGTGTTTTCATAGATCGATTTGAGGTCTGACTACCATCAGTTGAGGATTAAGGTATTCGATGTCCCTAAGACAACTTTTCACACTCGGTATGGGCATTATGAGTTCCTAGAGATGTCATTTGGGTTGACAAATGCTCCAGTAGCATTTATGGATTTGATGAACCGTGTGTTTAAGCCCTTTCTGGATTCTTTCGTGATTGTTTTTATTGATGATATTTTGATCTACTCCCGCAGCCGAGAGGAGCATGAGCAGCACCTTCGGATCGTTCTTCAGATTCTGAGAGACAGCCAGTTATATGCTAAATTTTCATGATCTTCTAAGGGTGTGTTTGGTATGAAGGAAAATATCTTCTTGGAAAATATTTTCATGGAAAATAAGTGGTTTTATCACTTATTTTTCCTTATTTGGTTGGTGAATAAAAAAAAATTTCGAAAAATATTTTCTACTGTTTGGTTAGAGAGTATAAAATATTTTTAGGAAAATAATTTTTTATGCTACTCTTCTCAACTCACGTTCCCCAAAATCTTCATGTTCCCTGTACTCCTCCCCCCTCCCCCCCCCCTCCAGGGCTCTATTTTCTTCAAGAATTTAATTATTCGTTTCAAAATTCACTCAAACCCAAAGGAACTAATGTGCTACTTTACTTTTTCAAACAAGAATAACATTGAAATTTGAGCTCGATAACTAAAAACAAATACTAATACCTTTTTTTTTGTTGAAAAAGAAAGTATCATTTCTACAACATGAAAAGAAACTATTTATTTTGTTGAATGAAAGAAAGTACTTTTTGTACATCATAAAAATAAAATACTTTTCTACATCATAAAAAGAAAGTATTCATTTTATTGAATTTTTTTTTATGCCAGGAAAAGAAAATACTTAGTTTGTTCAAATAAAAGAAAATAATTTTTCTATATCATGAAAAAAAATACTCGTTTTGTTGAAACGAAAGAAAATAATTTTTCTACGTCATGTTACTGGTTGGTCTGAATCTGTCCCTAGCTACAACACACATATCCTTTCAAAAGAATGCTATTGTTTTAGTGAACGTATTCTACACCCTAAAATGTTGTGCATTTTGGGGCTATTTGTGAATATATTACTCAAGTCTTTTCTCTACTTCTTGAACAAAAAAAAAATAAAAATAAAAATTGGTTCCCAAAGAAACTAAAACGAAAAGTAGAAAGGTTAAGTTTTCACTAGTTGACGGTGTAGATGAAGATCTTAGTAGTAACACCAATTTAGTCGACCAAAGTATATCTTTTAATGTGTTTAAGTTATATCAACAGACTTTGCTATGTTTCATTTAACATAATAATTATCTTGAAAATACTCTCTACTAGATTGTTCTATATCTTGCCTAAATTCATAAGTCCCAAGCAGAGGGACATTATGACAAGGGGTGGTAATCTTCAGATTAGACAACACTCGTATGATAGAATGTGGTGATTTTTTTTTGTATTAAGTTATGAGATGTTGAGATTTTCTGAAACTTGAATAAATATGATAAATATAATTTTTTTTATCGAGGCGGACATGACTGTTTCGAACCTCTTAAGTAAGAACTTCTCTCCTAACTTTTGATCTCGTCAACCGTATTAAATTTACTAGTTACTTCATAATCCAAAAAGGCTATGTTGAATTAATCGTCTTAGTATTCTTAATTGTAAGGATCACTTTTCCATTTTGAAAATCCATTAGCTCAAGGAATTTCACCACTTCCTCAACCTAGAATTTACTTAAACAATTTAATCCAAATCTGGAATATATAACAAACACTACATGAAAAGCTTATTAAGAGATGTGTGGTAATATTTTTGTTTACCAGTTTTGCACGAGTCTTGCCATGGAAATTTTAAATGAAAGCTATAGCACACAAGTCCCTTTCGCTTTTGATTTTTCATATTGATGTTGCTAGTCATTAAGTGAACATATTCTTTACTCTAATTTCTAAGGATGAGTAAATGTAACTTTGTTACTTACATTTTTTCGAAAAATCCTAATTATAGTATCAGAGCCTCTATTAATCTTGATGGATTTGTAAGTTCACTGAAAAAGAACTATTTCAACCACTTTAAACCATTAGACTCATGTTGATTTCTAAGTCATATCCATATTAACCCTTATCAAATTTTAATCTTATTTTGCAATCATGAGACATGGTAGTCTATCTTTGAATACCCCATAAACCTTCACCGATAAAAATTAACAAATTTGATACGTGAAAATGATGTTATCTTGAAACCTATTGTTTATGGGATGTTATAATGAAAGAAAGATCCTTACAACCATTCCTTGCAAATTCTATTATTGCTCAAATGAAAGCTGACATAGACGCACTTTCAAACAAGATAAAATTGTTGAGACTGTTATTTATGCACAGAACCAAAAAAAAAAAAAAAAAAAAAAAAAAAAAAAAAAAAAAGAAGAAGAAAAGAAAAAGTCTTGATGCAAAAGGACAACCTGACGTTTTCATAAAGGCAAAAGAAACATGTTTCCTATAGGGTCATAAATGCCCTTGTACACAATTTTGACTTGGTTTTACTCACAACATTATTATTATCTAATGAATTTGATATTTTTAAATAGACAATCTAGGATAGCATTGAGGCGGTGCTTTGCGGTGCCGGTTCTGTTATAACTCGCAAAATTTTATGTTCACCCATGTCCACCTGCCCCGCACATGTACCTGCGTCCACCCGCCCCACAAAAGTTGTTTTTTTTATTACTTTAAATTTTCTGCACAAACTGTTTAAGCTAGTTATTATTAATATCATTAAACGGAATGTTTCTTTTGGGATTTCAAATCTGGGAATTTAACCTAAGACTAGAGGCATTTCGGTTGCATCAATTATATGTCTTGCTGACGAATATACTTTTGAGTTATTAGAACTTTAACAGAGAGAAAAACAACAGACAGTAATTAATCTAGATGAATTACATGACGATGTTGTGCCATATCCATTCTTGTTTTAGGAGAAGGCAAAACCATCTGTCCAATACAGTGTCATAGAATTCAAAACTTATACAAGTAAACTCTAAGACGATGTCCAGATTCTTACATGAAAGAACTTGAAAGAACTTCAAGACATATATCTAGCTGACTAGTACAGCATTTTCGTCTCATATGATGTGTGAACCAAGCTGATTCCGTAAGAGCCTATGGGCTAGAAGAGATGAATGAGGCTGTATCAATTATGGTTGGAGAGTTTTATTTGGGATCCATACCCAATTAGTAAGTCATGAAAAAGGACTACGGTTTAGAAAGAAGGAAGGATGCGAATTATGTTGCACATTCGGCTCAAGTCTCTACTTCTCACCTATCTTCTCGATATGTGTCTCATCCCCTATTTTGTCTCGTTCTCATCTCTTCCTGATTACTCATTCTATTTTTTCTTAGTTTCTGTTGCAATTTCCTCACAATTGTTAAATGCTTTGTAATTACAGTTTAATGTTCAATATAATCAGGCAGTACTATTGAAAGACTCAGTACTATATTTACATGGTCATTTTCAGAAAGTCAGAAATTTGAATTTCCGTCTTTGATGAAATTTTTAAACCTGCATCCGCACCGCACCCACATAGATTTAAACTTTTTTATTTTGACCTACCCCGCACCCGCATATGTTTAAACTCACACCGCCCTGCATGTGTCTAAATCCGCCTCGCCCGTCATCTACAATGCTCCATTGCCATCCCTATGAAAGAGAATTGTCTATGTGTAGTTTGTTCCAGATGCTCATATATTTTGAAGACTAATGTATAAATAACCAAGCTATTCAACAATTGGAAAGATGGTTTGCAAGCTTGATGTAAACCAAACAAATAATTCTACATTAGCAGCCTTAAAAGTGGCTATTTGTCAAAATCATCCCATCTTTTTCCTCTTTTATCTTCTTTTGCACAAATAAGTTGTACACGTATTAGTTTGCTATACGGTGTAATGACTAATGGGTTGTTGCGCAAATGATAAGGGTCGGTCAATGCCATATTCCAGTTTTCTAGTCCTCAACTATCAGCACTCAGCACGCCCACACAGTACAAATTGACTGACTTTCACTAATACGACTTGTAATACTCACAATTGACACTCTAAGTCTTAATCATGAGTTTGAAATCATTAAATAGTCAACTTATAAATTTAATGCCACAGAGAAAGAAAGGGCATCCGGGTTGACGTTTTGGCACATCTCATTAAGGCAAAAGCTATAGGCAAATGCCCACTTCCATAAATAGACAAAAAGGGCAGCCCGGGCGGTGCACTAAGCGGGTAAGGGCCGGACCACTTCCATAAATAGACAATCCAAGATTAATGCTTTGCCATATCCATTCTTGTTTTAGGAAAAACAGAAAAATGCATGTTATAGTTATGGGCAGAAGTTGCCATCTCCTGTTTGCTCTTGTAGTTTTCATTTTGTTTCATCACCATACTTCACTGGCTACAGTTCCCAACATTAACACTGATGAAGCAGCTCTTCTTGCCTTGAAATCTCACATTTCTTCTCATCCTAATAACTTGTTACAAAGCAACTGGTCTTCTTCCAGCCCAGTTTGTAGCTGGATTGGCATCACTTGCAGCTCTCGCCACCATCGAGTCACAGCTTTAGACATTTCTAGCATGCAACTTCATGGTACCATTCCTCCGCATCTAGGAAACCTCTCATTTCTTGTTTCTCTCGACATCAGTAACAACACTTTCCATGGGGAGTTGCCAGAAGAATTGGCTCATTTGCAGAGGTTGAAACTGATTGATGTCACAATCAATAACTTCACTGGTGCCATCCCACCATTTTTAAGTTTGTTATCTAATGTCCGATACATGTACCTATCGAGCAACCAGTTTTCGGGGAAAATTCCATCTTCCCTTTCCAATGTAACAAAGCTGGAGGTGTTGACTCTAAAGGAAAACTTTCTCGAAGGAGTGATCCCTCGAGAACTCGGTGATCTTCGTCATATGACTTTCATAGACCTGCAATTCAACCGGCTCACTGGCTCTATACCGCCATCAATCTATAACATTACATCAATGCAAAAGATTGGTCTCACCTACAACAATCTTACTGGCAAGTTTCCAACAACGATATGTGACCACCTTCCAAACTTGGAAAAGTTTGCCATCTCGTACAACTATCTAGATGGCATTATTCCACCAAACTTAGAAAAATGCAGAAAGCTTCAAATGTTGTCATTGTCTGGCAATGATTTCACTGGAACTGTGCCAAAAGAGATAGGCAACTTAACAGTTCTTACAGAATTATATCTTGGAGACATGCATTTGGAAGGTAATAATATGATATTTCCTTATATAATATTCTCATTTCCTCTAAGATTGGTACTCATATATTTCCCTTGATCACTTGATAGGAGAGATACCAGTGGAGCTAGGAAATCTTAAGAAACTACAGTTGCTGGGATTATTCGGGAATGAATTTATTGGTTCCATCCCTACAAGCATTTTCAACATGTCAGCAATGCAGTACCTATCATTTGATGGAAACGGGCTTTTAGGTACTCTACCTTCAGATTTAGGCCATAGAATGCCCAGCCTTGTAGAATTCAATTGTGCGACGAATAATCTGAGTGGTTTTATTCCTGCTTCTATCTCAAATTCTTCAAGACTCAGAAAACTTGATCTCAGTGCCAACAGTTTCACAGGTCCAATTCTTAAATCACTTGGTAACTTAGAACATCTTGAGTTTTTGAACTTGCAGTATAATAATTTTTATAGCGATTCAACATTGAGCTTCTTGGCATCGTTGACAAACTGTAGGAAACTAAGAGTAATAGGTTTATCTGAGAATCCCCTGCATGGGTTTTTTCCTACATCTGTTGGAAATTTCTCCGACTCTCTGCACATTTTTGAAAGCTATGCTTGTAAACTAAAGGGAAGTATTCCTGAAGAAATTGGTAATCTTACTGGAGTCACAAGGATGAATATGCTTAACAATGAGTTGACTGGACATATTCCAAAAACTATCCAACGCATGTTGAATCTACAACAACTTTACCTACAAAGAAACAAGATAGAAGGAACCATACCAGATGTTATTTGCACTTTAAAGAATCTCGGTGCATTAGACTTGACGGAAAATCAGCTTTCTGGTTCAGTGCCTCCATGCTTAGGGAACATCACCAGTTTGAGGAATCTTTATCTAGCTTATAACAGGCTGAATTCAACATTACCTGCAAGTTTAGGAAGCCTTCAAGATCTCGTAGAATTCAACGTTACATCCAATTTATTAAGTGGGAAAATTCCTCTGGAGTTTGGAAATATAAAGGCAGCAACACTCATTGATCTATCAAAAAATAATTTTTCTGGTGAGATCCCTAACACTCTAGTGGGTCTGGATAGATTGATCAAACTTTCTCTAGCACATAACAGATTAGATGGGCCTATTCCAAATTCATTTGGAAGAATGTTGGCCTTGGAATTCTTGGACTTGTGCTATAACAATCTTAGTGGTGAAATTCCAAAGTTATTAGAAGCTCTTGTGTATCTCAAGTACCTGAACTTCTCGTTCAATAAACTTAGTGGAGAAATACCCAGTGGTGGTCCTTTCGCAAATGCCACAAGTCAATCTTTCTTGGCCAATGATGCACTTTGCGGTGACTCTAAATTTCACGTGCCACCATGTGTCACCAAATCTCCCAAGAGGAAAAAGAAAATTTTGGTTTTGTCTGTTGTTTTGGGAGTGGGTCTAGTATCTATTGCATTAGCCCTCTTTTATGTATTTTTGAGGTTGCGAAAGATGAAGAAGAATGCAAGTCTAGCAGATTCGCCTCTGGTGAATTTTAAAGGACATGAAAGAATTTCCTATTATGAACTTGAACAAGCAACCGAAGGATTCGATGAAAGCAACTTGCTTGGTAATGGGAGTTTCAGCATGGTCTACAAAGGGACACTAAAGGATGGTACTCTTTTGGCAGCAAAGGTATTCAAAGTGCAATTGGAGGGTGCATTCAAAAGTTTTGACACAGAATGTGAGATGCTTCGGAACCTTCGCCACAGAAATCTGGCCAAAGTCATCACCAGCTGCTCCAACCTTGATTACAAAGCCCTAATTTTGGAATACATGCCCAATGGGACACTTGATAAATGGTTATACTCTCACAACTTATTCTTGGACTTATTACAGAGATTGAATGTAATGATAGACGTGGCTGCAGCATTAGACTATCTCCACAATGGCTATTCAACACCTGTGGTGCATTGTGACTTGAAGCCAAGCAATGTCTTGCTAGATCAAGACATGATTGGCCATGTCAGTGATTTTGGCATTGCCAAATTGCTAGGTGCAGAGGAGACTTTTGTCCAAACAAGGACTATTGCAACCATTGGATACATTGCTCCGGGTAATACAACTTTTTAAAGTTTCTTCATATCCTTGGAATACCCAAAATAGTTCTTTCCCCCGGGAAATATTTTGATACTCAAAGTTTTAGCATATTCCTCCATAACTAGGAAGCTTTTCTTATCATATTCGACCATGATTGCAGAGTATGGACAAGATGGAATAGTATCCACGAGCTGCGATGTTTATAGTTTTGGCATTATGATGATGGAGACGCTTACAAGAATGAGACCAAGTGATGAAGCATTTACCGGAGACTTGAGCATACGACGTTGGGTTAGTGATTCTTTTCCAAGTGAAATTCATAAGGTGGTAGATGCTAATTTGGTACAGGCAGGGAATGAAAAAACCGACACAAAGATGCAGTGTATGGTATCTATCATGGAATTAGCCTTGACTTGCACCTTAGTGAAACATGATGCAAGAATTAGCATGGAAGATGCTCTTTCAACACTTAGAAAAATAAGGCTTCAATTTGTCAGTAATCGTCACTAGGTGGAAACAAACCATCCACTCATGTACGATTGTTGCTTGATTACATATTTCAGATGCATTAAGCTTTCAATTTTGCACAAGTACTTAATCGAACAGTGTCTCCTTTTCTAAGTCTATGAGATCTAACAGTGTTTTTCCAGCATTTTTTTAATCGAATATGCCACTAGGCAGGTATGTAGTGGCTAATTTTATTAATAACAATCCCAAACAATGTCTTTTACATCATGAATAAAATAGGAACTTGCAAAATTCAAATAACCTTGAACCAGCTTAGGATCTAATCTGACATTACTCAGTGTGAATCTATGAACTAACTGGTTGAGCATGTCAACTGTACGTCTATATCCATGTCTGGACATAGATACCGTTCTGACAATATAGCACCATACCAATATGTTAAAATTGAATAGAAGTGTCACTCTACTGCTCATCTGCACTTCCAAATTCTTCAGTCGCATCTGTTTATTCTTCTTGTCTTGATCCTGAGTGTAGAACATTGTTGCTTGTCAAAATTAAGAAGTCTTTTCCCATGTAATGTGAGGTCTCCAAATGAGCTATATACCAGCTTACCCGGCATATCAAATGCCTGATTTGCAAAATGGTCAGCTAATGCATTCCCTTCCCTATATATGTGTGAAATATGAACCTGGCATGACTCTTAAAAGTTGGAAAATAAATTCCGCAGTGAGAATAATACTCCATGGAATCTCCATTAGAAACACGTGTAGTAATTGAGAGCAAGAATTTCAATAACAATAATAATACTGCTATTGTATTATTTGCGAACGGAAATACACGAATTGACTTGCGTCGTGATGGGCACTGTTCTAAGAAACTATTTCAGCAGTGTGAAATGTCTCTTCAGGATTAAACAAGCTTACCTCTATTAAGGAGGATACAAGAATCAACAAAATAGTAAATTACAAACTCATCTATAACGTTTTAAGGAGGAAGAAAAGGAACGAAAGAGACAAAGTGAAAATGTGTTGATCCATGATGTCTACTTGAAGGCCAATTTATAGGCTAATTGAGGGGCTTAGGTCATGCCAAGTGTATGACACTTGTTTACAACTTCCCATACAAGTTGCCACATGTTTTGAACTTCCCATGCAGGTTGCCACATGGTTGAACACTTGTCTATTTCTTTTGGAAAATATCACAATAGTTCCCCCTCATATTTTCAAAAAATTCATACAAAGAAGAGTAAGGTTTGTTGGATTTGTATGGTCCAAATGCAATAGGTTTGGTGTCTTTTGGACTATGAACCAAACTTAGATCAATAAAGTTTAACTCACAGAATTACTGGTGAAATATAATATTTCTATGAACCAATAGTTCTTATTGTAAGTCAGAGATTTTATCAATCACATTTTGACTCCCGGTAATTTTGCTGTTCAACTCGGTTTTGCGCCCAATAGGCCATGCGCGTGCCTGGTTATTCACGAGAGCTCTGAGACTAGGCCAAAATCTCATAGGAGTGACTCACTCCACTCTCATATAGGTGAATTCATCAAGTGTATACTACTTTTAAATACATCATTCATAAGGACTATGAATTTCATTAAGAGTTATAACTCAGTCTCTCAATTAGTAGCAGTTAAGCACTCTCTTTTAGTACTTCAGTGCCAATATCAGCTTGTTATTACCCATATGAACCTACTTCATGGGATCTCCAATCACATAGGTTGGGTTACCATCTTTATTGACAACATGTCGGCCTTAACCCCATCTCTTTTGAGGTTTGAAGAATTAATTTTCTTCCATAAGTTTAGTCAGAGGATTGGCCAAATTTATCTCTGACTTCACATAGTCAATGAAAATTATTCCATCTCTCAACTGTTGTTTTATGACATCATGTCTCAATTTTATGTGTCTACTTTTACAATTATAAGATTTATTCTTTGCCATAGCTATTACCGCTTGGCAATTACAGTGTATAGACACAGGAGGTAATACGTCATTTATTAAAGGGATATTAGCTAAGAAGTTTCTTAGCCACTCAGCCTCAGAACCAGCTAACTCTAGAGCTACAAACTCTTATTCCATAGTCGATCTAGCAATGATCGTCTGTTTAGCTGATTTCCAAGATATTGCACCACTACCAAGGGTGAATACATAACCACTAGTGGATTTTGTCTCATCTGAATCAGAGATCCAGTTTGCATCACTGTACCCTTCTAAACTAGAAGGAAATCCACTATATAGGATACCATGATTCATGGTTCCTCTCAAATATTTCATTAGTCTAGCTAATGCAGACCAATGCTCTCTGTTGGGATTATGAGTATATCTACTCAGTCTACACACTGCATAAGGTATATCAGGCCTTGTAAAATTCATTAAATGCATCAGACTCCCAATAATCTGAGCATATTTAGACTGAGCAATTGGGTCACCATTATTCTTTTTCAACTCAGAGTTAGCATCAAAAGGAGTGCTCACATATGTGACATTAAAATATTCAAACTTCTTCAGAAGTCACTCAATATAATGTTCTTGTGACAACATTATTCCATCTTCACTTCTTATAATTTTAACAACCAATATTATATTTACTTAACCCGGATCTTTCATATCAAAATTAGCAGACAGAAATAATTTTGTACTTTGCACAATATTTAAATTTGTACAAAATATAAGCATGTCATCAACATACAGACATATTATCACATAATCATTGTCTACCACTTTAATATAAACACATTTATCCACCTCCCCTGAAGAAAAACTGTCTCTCAGTAAGACTTGTTCAAATTTCTCATACCACTGCTTAGGATCTTGTTTAAGGCCATAAAGAGATTTAATTAATTTACAAACTTTATTTTCTTGTCCAGGAATGACACAGCCTTCAGGTTGAACCATATGAATTTCTTCTTCTAAATCACCATTCAAAAAAGCAGTTTTGACATCCATTTGGTGGATAAAAATCTTACGGATTGAAGCTAAGGCAATTAAAACTCGAATAGAAGAAATTCTAGTCACTGGTGCAAATGTAACAAAATAATCTATATTTTGTTTTTGAGAAAAATCTTTTGCTACTAACCGAGCTTTATATTTATCTAAAGACCCATCATGATTAAAATTCTTTTTGAAAATCCATTTACAATCAATAGGTTTTTCATTAGGAGGTAAATCAGTTAAAATCCATGTATTAGATATAGCTCCAAAATAATTTGATGGTTCATTATCGACAAGAAAAGTTTGAAAATCATTTCTGTAAGAAAAATATTCTTTCCTAGGCCTTTTACTCCTTCTCAGTTCCTCATTAGAGGTAATTTCATTATTTGTTTCAATAGGTTTATGAGAAATTTTATCAGATAATGGATAAATATATTCAAAAAACTCAGCATTCTTTGTCTCAATTATAGTATTGCAATCAAGCACATCACCTTTTAAAACAAGAAATCTATATGCAACACTATGTTTTGCATATCCAATTAGCATGCAATCAGCAGTTTTAGAACCTATTTTTCTCTTTTTAGGTTCAGGTAAAAGAACTTTAGCCAGGCACCCCCACACTTTTAAATATTTTAAATTAGGTTTATAACCCTTCCACAATTCATAAGGAGTTTTGCATGTTCTTCTATGTGGTATTCTATTTTTTAAGTGACACGCAGATAAAATAGCTTCACCCCACAAATTATCAGGAGCATTAAAACTAACTAACATAGAGTTCGTCATCTCTTTCAATGTTCTATTTTTCCTTTCAGCTAATCCATTTGTCTCAGGTGAATAGGGCGGATTTACTTCATGAATTATTCCATTATTTTCAAAATAATTATTTAAAGATAAATATTATCCACCTCTATCTGATCTAATTCTCTTGCTTTTCTACTAAGTTGATTTTTCACCTCAATTTTATAAGAAATAAAAGCATTAAATGCAATCAACTTTATTTCTAAGCAAATACAACTTAGTATATCTAGAAAAATCATCAATAAAAGTCACATAATATCTTTTACCACCTATAGTCATAGTCTGCTTTAAATCGCCTAAATCAGTGTGAATTAAAGATAATAATTCAGTTTCTCTATTTACAGAAAAATAAGTTTTTCTTGTACTTTTAGCTTCAACACATATTTCACACTTATTAATATTACTTGAGTCTAAACCAAATATTAATCCTAGAGACTGCATTTTCTTTATATACGCGACATTAACATGTCTTAGTCTAGCATGCCACAAAGAAATTGACTCAACCATATAAGCAGAAGAAGATGCATTTTCATTGCTTAGTATCAGAAATATTAAGCACAAATAAACCATAGTTACAATATCCATTACCCACAAAAATATCATTTTTGGTCAATACGACCATATTATTTTCAAATGAAACCTTCACTCTAACTTTTCCTAATAACCCCACAGAAACCAAATTGGTTTGGATATTAGGAACATGCAATACATAACTCAATGCTAGAGTTTTACCAGATGTGAGTTTGAGAAGAATTTTTCCTTTCTCAAGAACACGAGTTGTTCTTGAGTCACCAAGATAAATAGTTTCTTCTCCTTCCTCAACTTGGATGTAAGACAAAAATTCATTTTTGTTTGCACAAATGTGCCTAGTAGCACCAGAGTCTATCACCCAATCTCTCACACTAACCACATTATTTATTTGGGAAATGACTGCGATAATTATATTATCCGCTTTAGTCAAATTTAATTTTAACTTAGCGAAATTGTCATTTATCCCAACTCTACTATTGCATTGAGGTGCATTTTTCTTGATGGTTTTAATATTAGCATTGGATATATAACCATGTTTGTTCATATACCTGTGTTTTGACATTAGTGTCTGCCAAGGTTGTGGATGCAATAACGTATTTGCAACACCATAGATATTTGGCAGGACAGCTGGAACAGTAGCAGCGGAGACAACACCAAAATTGGTAGCTCCATCAAAAATTTCTGTAGTAGTATTACTTGCCATAGTTTCTTAGATTGTAGTACTTGAGAGCAAGAATTTCAATAACAATAATAATACTGCTATTATATTATTTGTGAACGGAAATACACGAATTGGCTTGAGTCGTGCTGGGCACTGTCCTAAGAAACTATTTCAGCAGTGT